AATCCCCATAAATGAACAACTTTGGGACCAAAAGTATCTCCTTTAAATTAGAGATGTCCCCCCTCCCCCAAAGTATTGGCCATAGTGTTAAATACATACTTTCCTCTGTTGTATCCCCTCAAATAAGGGTTGGCCATAGTGTTACTGATATACTTTCAAGTGTTTTGTAGCCAAACAAGTGTCCTCTTAATACTAATAATAGGGGTGTCCACATAATACTGTAAATATAGGTTTCTCCTTAGGGATGTCCCCTTACTGTAATAGACCTGTTCTATTGTATTTTTAATACAGACCTTACAATACAACCTGCTCTCCAACCCAAGAATTGTATGACACTACTTCATCTAATAAATGCATAAATAATGTACAGAAATTTATGTATACATTATTCTATTAAAAACATTACTATTATTATGATACTGTATTATTCTGGTTTCTGGGAATAAAGAAAATAATCTTTCTCTATTATGATATCAACAAAATTTAAATTAGACCATAACTCAACTCTACAGGTTACCAATTTGCCAACAATTTTAATTCATAATAAAATGTCAATATAAACTTTGTCTCATGTCCCCAAACACACTATATAAGTTCTATTATGTCTTATATTTCAGGACTGCTTCTTCATAGTAAATGTACCTTTGATAGTCTAATCTAATGTATATCTTTCTAAAACTATAATAAATCATAATATTTAATTAACAATTACATGCATTGACAAGGAATCAACCTTGTAAGTTGTATTTTGTAATTTACTTAATACTACTAGCTACAATACTAGTGAGGTATGTATATGTGCCCTTCGTATTTACTCACTTTCTCACGCTGACGTAGGTGATTGTCCCCTGCCATTCATGGGTGATATTCCGGAAAGTTTGTTATTATAATTGTTATCATCAGTAAATGTCAAAAGGTACTCAAATGCAAATTCACTTTTGGTAAATTTGATGAATTTCTATAACTTTTCAGAAAGCACACAAAGCAGGTGCTCACCTTAAAAATAATTACACTATTCAGAAGACAAAGATTCTGATACCTAAATTTGTATATTTAAAGCATGCAAATAACATGCATAAACATGGTCATGGTGAGATGACATTAATTTCATAGCACTGCAGCATTATGGGTACAACATTAATGTAGAATTGTGGGTATTTCAACTTTATTTTAGGAATAATAGATAAGTGGTTTTTTTTTTTTTCACATCTTGGTTATAAGATTGATATTGTTATTTACATGCCATTAAATACTCGCACCTTGGGCAGACACACAGCAAGAATCACTTCACAGCCCGTCAACAGTGAAAGCTGGGGTATCTAAGCATGGTTGGCTAAGAATGATTAGCAAGTGGCTCGAAAAATACCGACCATGAGGTTCAGAACCTGAATGTAAATCGCTGCACCAAACCGCATCCCAAAATGGCAAACGAGGAGGCTTCCTCTTTCAAATATTCTTGATTGATACTCACTGTGGGAATGGAACAATCTGTTGCATAGTTTGATACCCCATCACTGGTTATCAGGTATAAGCTATTGTATAAATATGCAGCTTTAATGTGTATAATATTACATAATATGCCTGTTATATAATAAGAATAGGGTAATATAATCCATTTAGACCCAATAAACTGTATTTTGAGAAACATTGGTATTGAACCTAATTGTTTGATACTGTTCCTTCGGTTGTTGTTCGGTACTATTCCTTCGGTTGCCATAACAACTAAGACATAAGAACTAACCAATATATACCACAGATATATTCTTAGTATGATACTAAGGCCATACACAAGTATTTGAAATGAGGAAGAGGTCAAAAAATATTTTATATTGAATTATTTATTTGGATCTAATTAGTTTTCAGTTTTATCTGAATGAAAAATGAAAATACAATTTAAAAACACTTTTATAGCATACATTGTAGCAATGATGATAGTAACATTAAAATTAAATAAAGATTTTTTATTAAATTTATAATGTTTACAACAATGGTGGTGGTGGTGCCAAACATGACTTTAAAAAGCAATTAAAAAATGATAATCATACAGATCTATATAATCAATATTTCATATAGCAAGCTAAACAGAAACTTAGATCAAAACAACAAATAGCAAGCTTTATTAATATAAAAATAAAAATTTGAAGTATTGTATCAGATTTCAAAAGAAGAGAAACCAAAACCCAGAAATTTAAAGACACCATTGTTTGTGTTAAACTCAATAACTGAACACAACACTATCAATATTTGAATTTCATATTTAGTTATATTAGCTTTCAATTGTTGAAAATTAGAAAGTGAAAATATTTTTAATGATAATACTGTTAAACTGGGTGACAGTTTATTTCAATAATGCTGTGAATCAGTAAAAACTGCATGATTTATCAATAACAGTTGATTCTTTTAAATGACGGATTATATTTTTTAGGATTTTCTCTGATTTCACTATTTGCAATTCAGGGGTTCCAAGTTGTCCGGAAGTCTCGGGAGTCTCCAGGAAATCGGACCTCCCGCACTTAACCCATCTCTCACGGAAGTCAGTGCCGATGGATAGAGTATCACCATGCGCCCCACAATAAAATGTTAAAAAAGTTCATTTCATCAGACCTTCCAGAAGGGATTCCACCCAACTTGGGACGCCTGGATGTAACTATTATATAATAAAGAAGGTTTTTACAAAATGCCACCTGAACATGGCATGCCAATTGACAACACATATAAAAATACTATAATAAACATATTCATTATTCATCAACGGTCTAGTATTAATTAGCACTACTACAGTACTGTACAACCAATAAAGGTGGCGACTTCAAGATATTTACATATCTGCAGCCTCACAATACCATGTTCGACTGGCATCTTTTAAGTTGGAAAAAATATTCGATCTCAAATCTTATAGGTCAACAATAAAAAAAAATTAGGTTAGCCCAAGATACTGTTACTGTTTAGCCTTCAGGAAAAATGTTTTAAAAAGTTCAATTTTTTGAAGACTACATCACCTGTTGGGTCTGGTAGACTGACTTAAGGAGATTTAAGGTCAAAACAAAAGTAACAGTATTCAAGCACTTTTTCTTGACTTATCAACTGATTCGGTAAAACCACTGACTAATAGTAGGATTAATGTTGACCAAATTTTCTTGGGTCAAATACACAATACGAACAATTCTTAAACTTGTAAAGGTATCAAAAAGATTAGGATAACAACTTTTTGAGGTACAGTAACTTTATGGCTATAAAGTAGAGGTCACAAATTATAGGTGTTTTTAAAATAGAGCATAGTGTCATAGTGGTCAAGGGATTAAACTTTGGTCCCTGTTGTGAAACCAAATAATCCTGCTCTTCGCTTATGTCCTTGGTAAAGCACTTTACTGACTACATCATCCTCCCAGTGGGAGGAAAATGTGTTGGTCCCATGAAAATAAAAGTTCTATGCAGAAAGAGTTTGGGATGTGTAGAGTTTGTGATTAGAACTTTCGCTACTGGCTCTTGCTCAATGAGCATAAACATAAGTAGAAACAAATAAAATTTAAGTACCTGGGCTATGGTACAAAGTGAAACGCACATATTCCAATACCAGGGTCTTTGGTTCAATACTAAATATGGTTGCATTTTTCTCATTAAGTATAAATGACTCAGTAATATATTTTTGACAAGAAACATTTTAGAATCAATTTCAAGACATTATAGAATAATAATGAAATTAATTTTTCACACAGTGAAGTGAAACAACAGATGTAAACATAACATTAAGGTCAAACACACTGACCTATTTATCACTTCAATATCTGAAATTTAATGTCAATACAGTAGAACCCCGATTTTACGAATTCCCGATTTTACGAACGTAATATAAAGGTGATGACGTCATAAAAGTTGAAGCGAAAGATTAAAAAAAAAAAATTGTACCTGTTATTACCATGCATACAACACAACACACCATACTATACAGTACTATGTAATTCTGAAGTAAAGGAGGTCCTCTAACAGGCCTCTTCAAAGTCAAAAATGTCCGATAAAAACAAATTTGTGCAGGGCCTAGAGTGGGATCAGAATGCTTAGAAGCTGCCAACTGTAGGCCTAGGCCCCCTCAGACTTAGCTGCGTAAGCCTGTAGGCTTAGCCTAGGCCTAGTTTATGCCAGTGTAAGTAGTATCAGTGCAAATATATAGGAATTTGGTTCAACCCCAAATTTACGAACGGCTCTGGGCCCGTGCCATACGTAAATGAGGGGTTCTACTGTATTAATTTTTTTAATGGTTAAATATTTTATCAAGATGGTAAGATGCTTGATAAAACGCTTCTCAAATTCACATTAATTTAAAAAAAAAATTATAGTAATTACTCATTACTCACTATTATCAGAGATAGCCTATTGGAAGATTAGGAAGTTTAGTGAGGTTACAAATATAAAATGTGAGTACTTCCAACCCTAAACCACTGGATTCAATACAAAATGCATTGCACTTTCTCACAACCACAAAAGAACTGCATTACACCCAATTCTCATGAATTACTGTAGGCCATAAAAATAAAGATACATAAATTTTTTTGAAAAAAAAATGGAGGGTCTTATTTTTGGCTGCAAACATTTTCAGATGATGAAGTACCTGTAGTACTACTACTAGTGACTATGATTTAGAATGCTAAAAAAACATTCAAGAACTGAGGCACAAAAATGTGGGTGTGGATGATAAATTACATATTAGACGATTGAAGAATAAATCATAAAATAAATAAATTACAAAATTAATAAATAAATAAATATTACAAAAATTGAGGCAAAAATGTGGGAGTGGGTAATCAATACGGTACATATTATTTGACCTGTGAAGAAAGAATCAAATCTTTAAAAAATAAAACATTAAAAAACTGAGGTTAAAAAATGTGGGTGTGGATGATAAATTATATATATGAAATGAAAGAAATATTTTGGACTAAAAGTTATAACACTCTCCTAACAATGTCTCCCTATCTCTCCCTGACCAGAGGTCCTAAGCTGACCTTTGACCTTTTGTTCCTTCCTTCTTGTTGAACTTGTTGGACTGCCTGTGATCAAATTCTGGAGCCACCATTGGAATAGATCATTCCCATTCAAATGTGATAGAAAAAGAAAAACTTGACTTTTTGACTGTCAATTCCACATTGCTGGATATAATGTGAAACTGTTCCAATTGCTAATGTAACTTCACCTTGACCGGAATCAATTGACAAGGTGACCTCCAGATGACCTTGACCTGGTGGGACCTGGCTACTTTCAGCATCAGGAGTTCTACCTTCAAGTCACTTTCCATTATCAACAGATGGTTTCCCCAGCACATTTTTGTCTCCCCTGGTGTCATTCACTTCTAATATTTTTGAATACCAATCAAAAACCAGAATCGTGTCTCTTTAAAATCTCAGAAATCACTGTGAAAGGATAATTCCCAGTGCTTTTTAAAATAGAGTAAAGTTCACATTAAATTTATATTTTATTATAACGATCGTATAAAACAACACCATCCCCCCCACCCCCGTTTTATCATCAAAATTCCTACTTCTAATTTTTATGGTCTTAATACTGCATCTAGCTGGCTAAAACGGAGTCAAATGCAAGGGTAATCTTCCATATTATAATACCATTTTATGAGTTTTTAATGTTCATAAAAATCTTATATTTTAAATTGTGAATTCATTCATAAAATATTTACTGGTTTCATTCAGTAGTAAATACGCATGTTACAGTCTGCAAATACAACGAACATTATTTTAAAAAAAAATGTATGTCCTGCATAAGACGACTCCCTTGTTTTTTTTTTTATTGTAATTTGCTATATGGTATTAAAAAACAGTGTTAAATTATAAAATTTTTCATTAAAAAATACAAATACAAGGAACCAACGTGACATAATAGCCTGAAATCATAATTACGTATAGCAGACCTGCACCAATGAAGTTGAAGCGTTCATTCAATGCACCTTTTTGCACTTGACATTAAAAATTACTATACATTTTGATCAAATGGTTTCTGTACTAGAGCTTGCGCAACAGTAGTCACTTTGCAGTCGTCTTTGTTTATGGATATCTTCGGGAATTTTGCAAAAATTATGTACTGTAGCTTCAACAATAAAATGTATGCATTTTCAAAAGCATCTTTTTTATACCTTGACGAATTTGTTATTTACTAAATGCTCTGTCAAACAAAAGATTATAAATGGCATTCGTCTCGTGGATAATCCGCAACCCTGATGATGTTTTAAGCTAGTGTTGGGAAATTCCAGAGAACTATATTTTTAGAAAGGTAATAAACATGAACGTTAACATGAAACGGACATCAGTTACCTGTTAATGCCGAGATAAGACCATCCCAATTTATTTATCAATAAATTGTTATCATTTATACCTAGAATGTGATTGAGTAGGCCCTACATTGAAAATCACAGTATACAAATTTCAAAATGCATCCTCAGACTATCTTTTTTATTGCCTTTGAATGTTGATATCTATTACTTTTTATACATTTTGATGTTTTTTTTGCAGGTTATTTTAGCTTTGAAATGAAAACCAACCAACAAACATTACTTGGTTCTCATCTTCTTGAAACTAAATTGTTTCTATATCTATATTTAAATTACTTGTTATTTATTTTTTTACTCTTTTAATTTTTATTACAGTATATTATATTATATGAAAATTTCATCTAATATGATTCTTCCTTATTTTTCTTAATGCTTTCATATTTCAACATCAAACCTTTTCTACAACTTGTGCAGTTTTCAGCTAACATTTGTGATAAGTCCTTTAGTAAAATAAGTAGTTACTTATTAATGTTATCATATTATAAAATAATCAAACCTAGAGAATTTTTTGTAAGGACATTTAAAATATCTTGGATGTGTTTGACATTTTAAACAATGTAAATATGCCAGTTATACTGTAGAGAGTATCATGCCAACAAGGGTTCATCTGCTTGACATTTCAATCTTTCTTTTTTTTTTTTTGGTTGCCAGGAAAATCCTACAATTTGTGGGATTTGAACCTGTGAAACTGGGACTAGAACGTGAGCACCTCACTGTACAACAAATGCTGGTAATCTTTTTGAACTATAGTGTATTTACTTTATCACGTTTATCAAAATCATGTGCTATTCAATGCCAGGCACAGCATGGTTATCCTATTTTGTGGTTCCTTAGGAAAACCTCAACATATAGTAAAAATAGAATTTTACGTATTAAACGGATTCCTAGAAATCACATGGCTTTTTTAATGTAAATATTTTTTATGGTCCGGTGCACTTATTGTTGTTGGTTTATCATTTATCATGATATCGCCAAAAAGCAATAATGTGATCTACTTATTAATTGAACTTTTAAAGAGAATGTTGAAGTATGCAAGGTACTACAGTACAAAAACCTACTGTAACAATGACTATCATTAAAAGTACAATAAGTGAGGAAAGTAAAAAAAAAGTAAAGTTATTTTTGAGAAAAATTAGAGAAAAGTTTTGAAGACTTCCCACAAAAAAAAGATCAGAAATAGAACATAGCTAAGAGAATATTCATAAGTCAAAATATTTATGAATATTTCTTGAATAAATGGCCCTCTCTTCTGTCAGCATTTTAAAAATAAGATGTACTTTTACAAATAAAACAAAACATAAAATTACAAAAATGTTCGTGTGAATGACAAATTTAAACATATTTTTTATTTGACCTTTGAGGAAATAGAACATATAGCTGAGAGAAAATTCATAATAATCATAATGGATGGACAGATTTATTTGGTGTAAACACCAAGGATAATCCACGAAAGCCTGAAAAAGACATATTTTTAGTGGGGTCCTCCTGGTGGTGATTGGGTAGTACACAGGACTACTCTTTCCGAAGAGTATACTGCAGTATCTTTTGTAATTACATATATCTCTTGAAATTATAATCTGTACACATACCTATGAATATTCATGATTTGAATATTCATGATTTAAATATTCAAAGTGTTCCCTATACGTCATAAGATATTGCTATTGTTTCTAACAAACACTGTCAGCAATACAGTACATGTTTCAGAGCGACATCGGTATTTTTTGTAATGTCATTACATATGATTTACGACGACATTTAAGGTCTCACATTCAGCTCATTTAGCCAATCTGACTGGAAAAGGTTATCAAACTAACTACTTTGCATGCTTCTATTCAAAACATTGACTCGCTCAAGTCGTGTAAAGCAAAAAAACATCACACAGAGCCCATTTACTGTAAGGCCTCGCACTTACATCATTTTGAGCCAGCTAGAAAAAGTTTGATTGTTTGCCTTGCACATTTCTAATGAAAGCATTAAACAACTCACTGAAGTCTCGCAAAACGTGAAACAAAAAACATCGCACAGAACCTATTTACTGTAAGGCCTCCTTCTCATCTCATTTTGAGCTGGTTAGAAAACTTACTAGATTGTCTGCCTTACAAGTTTCTATTAAAAGCATCAAGAACAATTCACTCTACCCTTGCAAGAACATGAGACAAAAAACCTTACACAAACCTTATCACGTTTATCAAAATCATGTGCTATTCAATAAAGCCTCGCATTCATCTCTTTTAGCCAAGCCGACTAGAAGTCATGAGAAAAAAATACAGATACAATTTATTAAAAAAAACCAGCCTTTTCTGATACTGTAAGATAGGAACTGTCACAGGAATCTCTGTACAGGGGTATGGAGGTACTGTAAGGTGGGTAAGGTGTTCTGTTCTGTTTTGATTGGTCAGTTGTCAATTTTTGACACTTTAGAAAGCATGTCCATTGATAACAAAAAAAAAGTACCTTGGAAACAAAATCCAGAATTTGTTTATTCATTAAACATTTAGTTAATTAATTTACAAAACCTCAACTTATGAATGAATGTAAAGGCAAAAAGAGTTTATAACTATAAATTAAAACTGTACTGTACAGTAGCTTTAAATTGTTGGCTAGCATCAGATAAAACCAGTCCTGTCCTTGAAGTTTGCTAAGAATGTGTTGGACTTGAATTCCATCTGATCTCATTTAATCTCACAGGATCACTGTCTCAACTGATGAAACCATCACTCTGTTCTTTTTTTTTCTACTTCTAATTCTCAATCGAATAAGTTGCAAATAACAGGAAGGAAATGAACTATTATGAAAAAATTGATGATTTAAAAACAAGCATCGTTATATAGCTTAGGGAAAAAGTTGACTTCTAAGACAAATGTAGCAAACATAACTACACAAGTTATCAAAATATCCAATAAGTCACAGATTTAAAAAAGAAAAAAGAAAAAAAAAAAGAAGTTTTTCTATAAGTTCTAAAAAGTGTACATTTTCCTATGTCAATCATATAGAAATCCTAAAAATTTGATATCAAAAGTTTAATATAATTAATTACTAAAATAATAATAATAATAATATGTTCATTATCTGCTACTCTGTTTCGTCTCTGGTACAGTAGACATGGCGCATCCCTACCTAATCACTTCTATGACTCTCTGTGTGTTGGATTCATATACTGTAACAGTAGCACTTCATGACAACAAGGCCACTAAGTTATAACATAAACTTTAGGAATGTTATTTTCCGAACACCTGTTAATCGGAAAAAAAAAAATTTTTGAAAACATACTTCTAATTTTTCTCAATTATTATTATTTCTATTTTTAGATAATTTATTTGAGTAGTACATACACGTAGTGCTATGTGAATTTCTAGACTTGTTTATAGAACATCAAGGTCAAATATAATCATCCTCGTAGATCTGTATCATCCTCAACCAATATATAACAATTTTCATTAATGGAATGAACATTCATGAATGGTATTTGAGATAAAGTCTTGAAATTCTATGTCATAACATTAACAAAAATCCCACACTCGAATAAGCGTGGGACTGTTTTATCCCACATTTTCTCAGAACTAATTTTTATAATTAAAAAAATAAATAAATAAATGAATGAAATGGAAAAAAAAAAACACCACTAAGAAAACAGCTAAAAACCACATCAAGTTGCCATGGCAATGATGACGAGTAAAGTCAAAATGTCATCCCAGTAACAGTCGAGGCAATTGTCATAGCAACTGCCTGGAGAAATTGTGAAAAGAAATTTGAAATGAGAAAGAGATATAAAGGAAACAGTCT